TTTAAAAATTAAAAATTAAGCGAAAAGAAATTTACTTAAATCGTCCTAAATAGTTAAAATGTATTTATTCCCATTTTCAGTCATATTAAGGGGACCAACAATATCAACAGAAGTTTTTTCTAGAACTTCAGTTGATGTTGTCGTAAAACACATAGAATTTTTATTTTTTTTGAAAGTTGCTTTATTTTTTTGGCAAGGATCGCAAGTTTTTATAAAATTTTTTACATCTTTTCTCATATTTTCCCACTTATAACCTAATTGATTAAGTTTTTTCATTGTTTTAGAAATACCAAAATGACCTCCAATAGGTTTTGAATGTATTTCATTTTTATGTCGTCATTTTGACCTAATTCTATTTTTATGTCAGATCCTTTAAAATATACCTAAGCATTGATCTAAATTGTTCCCGATTTATATTTTTGTGCTTTGGAATAAATAAATGATTAATTTTTTTATTTAAAAGTAATTCTTTTAAAGTTTCTATGTTCTGAAATAATTTAGGAAAATCATAAGAATCAAAGAAATTCAATTTATGATAAACAAGTATGTAATTATTTTGTATGCAAATTTCATTTTGATTTACTTTTTTTTCAGGAGTAATTATATTTTTAAATTCAAATTTATTATTTATATTGACCCGACAAAATAATATTATATTTTTAATTTTTATAGTATTAATTGTATCATTAGAATCTATAATGTTCTTGTTTAAAATTAGTTGTTTATTCTGAGTTTCTATAAAATTGTTATAACTATGAACATTAATTTTAAAAGTATTCAAAGTATTATTATTAAGATTTAATTCATGATTGTTAATTTGTTCATATAATATTTCTGATGGTCTCGAGAGTCCATCAGCGTTTTTATTACTGAGGTCTTTTTTATAGACATTTTCAAAGTTAAAATCCAATAATTTTAATCTCCATCTCATAAGCCTTGAATTAGGGTCTTTTAAGTTAAAAAGCCAAACTAATGCTTTATGATCTGTTATGATTTTAAATTTAATTCCGTACAAATAAGGTCTGAAATGTTTAACTGATCAAACTATCGCTAATAATTCTTTTTCTGTATCTGTATATGAAATTTCGCTTTTATTTAATATTCGCGAAGCGTATGCAATAGGCAAGTCATCAGGGATATCACATTGACTTAATACCGATGCAATAGCGTAATTACTTGCGTCTGTTGTAAGTATAAATTGATTTTCAAAATTAGGATATTGTAAAATTGGTTCTGTCATTAATATATTTTTTAAAGTATTAAATACGTTAATTTGATCATCACCAATTTTAAATCTGACATTTTTAGATAGTAAAAGTGTTAAAGGTCGAGCTATTTTAGAGAAATTTGGAATAAAACGCCTATAATATCCGGCTAAACCCAAATATGATTTTATATCTTTAACACATTTTGGGATTGGAAACTCTTTAATTGATTTGATTTTATCTGGATTTGGTTTAACACCAGATTCGGAAATAATATGTCCTAAATAAGCAATTTCTTTTTTTAAAAAATCGCATTTATCTGGTTGAAGTTTTAAATTTGCATTTTTTAATGCGAGAAATACGTCTTCTAATTTATGATTATGATCTACTAAACTACTACCATAAATAACTATATCGTCCATGTATGCAAAACATTTAACTCCTAATAAAGAAGCAAGCACAGTATTAATTAGACGTTGTAAAGCAGCAGGTGCTTCTTTTTTTCCAAACGGTAAACGTGTAAAATGATAATGTTCGTTACCAGAACTAAAAGCGGTTTTAGGAGCATCATTCGTATCTAATTTATTTTGATTAAAACTTGATGCTAAATCTAATGTTGTAAAGTAAGATGCATTTCCTAATTGGTCAAGAATTTCATTAATATTAGGGAAGGGATATGAATCTCCTNCATTAATATTAGGGAGGGGATATGAATCTCCAACCGTGATATCATTAAGTTTACGAAAATCTACGACTATACGCCATTTCTTTTTTCCTGATGCGTCTGGTTTTTTGGGGACAACCCATAAAGGTGAATTCCATGGACTATTTGATTTTTCAATAATACCTTGGTCTAAAAGACTATTCAGTTGTTTTTCAACTTCCTCCTTATGACAGATAGGGTATCTATATTGTTTTATATTTATAGGATGAGCATTAGGAGTAATTATTTTGTGTTCCATTTTATTAGTAAAAGATAATTTATCTCCCGGTAAGAAAAATATATTGTTAAATTTATGACACAAATCTTTAATAGAGGATTTTTCTTCTGTATTCAGATGATTTAGTCTAAGATTTTTATTCAAAAGATTTAGTCTGTTAGTATTGTTTGAATCAAGATAATTAGTATTACTATTATTTTCATTTGGGAATTCGAAATTCTGATTGATCAAATTTAATATTATCAATGGAAATTGAAACATCTTTTTCCGACGTGTTCAAAATAGGTACAATTGCGTAATTATTTCTAATTTGTGTAACACATGTTCCAATGAAAACATGGTTTAACTTTTATTGGGTCATATATTATGCCTGTCGAATTTCCAGTATTAAACGATTTTACCTTAATTATCGATTCTGAAAGACTTTTAATTGAGTAATTATGTGTTAGTTAATAATCTGTTATTTTAGTTTTTCNTGTGTTAGTTAATAATCTGTTATTTTAATTTTTTCACCAAAGTAAAATTGTAACTCTTTTTTATTTAAATCAATATATTTAACATAATCTTTAAGAAAATCATAGCCCAGAATACCATGAGATTTTATATTGAAATCATTTGGTACAATGTAAAATACATGAGTTATTGTTTTGTTTCCAATTTTAAAATTAATCTTTGTGTAACCTAAGCTTTTTGTTTTCCCATTTATGCCTTCGAGAGTAGTACAAGAATTAGCCCAATATCTATGACCTTTAGGTAACTCTCCTATTTTTATTAGACTAGCTTGGGCTCCACTGTCGATCATAAAATTAATATTTTTACCTATATCGCATGAAAATATTATACAATATGGAGTATCAGTTTTTAAAGTCGTATTTAAAATAGAAATTTGTTTTGAATCGTTAACATTTAAATTTTTACTCATACTAGGCTCGTTTTTATGAGAATTTTTTAATTTGTAACATTCGTCTTTAATATGAAAGATCTTCTTGCAGTATGTACAAAATTTTTTTTTATTATTATTGTTACTATTTTTATTAAGTGTATTGTTATTCCCGTTATTGATACTTTTATTATTTTTGAAATAGTTGTTCTTGTTATTACTATTATCACGAAAAAAACAATTTGAAGTTTCATGGTTTTTCTTATGGCAAAAATTACAAAATTTATTAGAATTACTCGTAAAAGAGTATTTAGAGAGGTTGTTTTCTGTATCAATACGAATCTCTTCTTGTCTAGCAATAGCAATTGCTTCATTTATATTTTTAGGATTATTAGATAATATTATAATTTTAATCTGATTATTGTATAGGCCTCTTTTAAATGCACCTAACGCTTGGTCTTCACACATATTTCTTATTGCTTCTTTTTGTATTTTACATTTTAATTTATTTGTATAAGCATGATATAATTTAATTTCTAATTTTTCCACTCTGTCACCGAAATCACTAACTTTTTCGTTTTTATATTGCCTAATGGTTTGCAATTCTACGGATAGTTGATCTGGACGAATTTCTTCCCCGAAATATTCAATAAACAATTCCCTAAGTTCTGACCAGTCTTTTAATTCTACTGAATTAACAATTTCTTTTGCTTTTCCATTTATTTTTAGTTTAATAGCCAAAAAGAGTTGTTTATGTTGCTCTTCGGCTGCAAGTAAAAATATATCATCTACAGCGCTTAAAAGTTGGTTTAATTTACTAGAATGACCCTCGAAAGGTTCATCTACTAGTTGGGTTAGTTCAAAAATAGAGAATGTTTTATCAGCCATTTTAAAAGGAGAATTAAATTTTATGCGAACAAATTTTTAAAAGATTATTTAAAATTTATTTTATAATATATCTTATAATACCAATATTTTACAAAGGGAAACTTAATTAATTTAAAGCTTATAGTTTAACTTAAGGCTAGGTACAAAATAAAATGTTACCAGAAAAGTGCTAAGAACGCCAAATATTTCATGATTTTCTTGAGGTTGTTTTAAGTTCTTCTTTAAAACGCCGATGTGAGGTTTTCCAGAGATTTTCTAATTGTGTGAGATGACCAAATGAATTGAATTAACCAGGGATGCCAAATTCTGTGGTGAACTGGGTTTCTAAGTCCAGTTTCAGCCAGTCGGAAGAGTCAAAGTAAAAATACAATGTAACATTCATTATGAGTACTGATCATTTAATTTGTGATCATGTCCCTTTTTACATTTTAAGATACATGATTAATTACGAATTAATACAAGGTTAAGACAATTTTTAAAGTAAACAAAAACACCATTAAAATATAATCTTTAAAATCTAATTTAAAAGACTATTAAGTATTGCTACATATTAAAAGATGCCGTTCACGACAACTGTAACAGCGATATAATAAAAAAATAAAAAGTTAAAAATAATTTTTAGTTTGATATGCATTAAAATCGTGTTTTTCAGTTTTTTTGACTATAATTGTTACTAGAATAAGTTAGGGACCATTTCACTAAAAATGTAAACCCAAACATGTTGTATTTCCATGTATATATATGAATTAGTAGAAATTATGCACAGCAAACGAAACGAACGTGGTGATAAAGCCGATTTGGCGGGAACATGGTTGTCGATGTCGGTTTAATTGAGAGAATACTCTCTCCTTTTTCGCATCGCTGAATGTTCTATGAAATGTTAAAAATCGTGAACCTAAAAGTAAATTTTTTTTTACTTTTATTGAAAAAATATCAACCGAATCAAACTAAAAACAAATTGTTTAACGATAAAATCGCTTAGTTAAAATCGATAAATCTATAAAAAATCGATTTTTTTTAAAAATTGATTTAAATCACTAAACCATCCTTTGATAATGTTGACAATATGTAGTTTGAATTGACTTATTATTTTATTTAAACTGAAGCATTCCACTTCATGTCCCTAAATTACATATAATGGTTGTCATACTAAATAGATTATCATTATAAATAATAGATAATAGATTAAATTTTTAGTAAACAAAAAAAAAAAAATATAAGCAAATACTTATTAATATAATAATTAAAATAAAAATCTAATGGCTCCCAAGAAAAATGGTTTTAGTGCTTTTTTGCTACATTGTAAAAATGAAGAACTTAAGAATGGTAGGAATATTAATATGAAAGATCTGGTTGATGAACTAGAACCTATTTGGAAAGTAAGTTTTACCAATATTTTATCATTTCTATACTTCCGTTTAAATATTGTATTTTATATTTTTATATTTACAATTGCAGCTTACACATTCTTACTTTTTTATTTCCTATATTTATTCAGTCTCACCCACCCTTCTACCCAGCAGAACCAATAGACTTTTTGCTTCTTAACTTCTCTACATTTGAAAGTGTGGAGAGATAATACCCTATACTGATCTGCCATGTTGACACTGTACTCTCTAAACGTTCTATAAGGGAGAAACGATTAGAACTTCTTACATTATCACCTATATTATCTTGTCCTCACTGACAAAGGAACTCTTCAATGTATTTTAAATTCACTTTAATATCTCTTATTATAATCTTTGGAACATATCTTTAATTTAGAAACTATAGTGTAGAGATGTTTTTAAATTAAGAATATTTAATTTAAATTAAGAATATTCAACCATTTAAATTTAAAAAATTTAAAACGTATATGTATAGACTAGTAAAACTTCTGTTTCATAGCATTTACAAGGTAATTGATTAACTATGTTTCACACAATATCTTTAAAAATTGAAAAATTTTCTATTTATGAGTTAATTGTATCCTATAGTCCAAGGATGGGCAACTCAAAGTTACTAGATGGCCAATTTTTAAAAAATTAAAATCTAGCGGGCCAGAGCATAGAAGCAAAAAAAAAAAATGTACATTTTAATTAACATTTTTTGTTTATAATGTAATAATACAAAAAGGGTTATTAAAATAATTGAATTAAATATAAATAGATATTTGTTTAGTGTGAGTTTTGAGCATGGGTGGCTTCTAGTGACAACGCGGCAAAATCGACTTCTATTTCAGATGAAGAAACACAAAGTAGGTGACTTAAAGTTTCATCTGTAAGTCGATTTCTTTGTTTTGATTTAATATGTTTCATGTTTGAAAATGTACATTCACAAATGTAAGTAGTCCCAAACATGGATGACATTTTTAATGCGAACTCTCGTAAAAGTGGATATTTTAGAATAGGTAATGTTTTCCAAAAGCTTATGTCAATCTCTTTTGTAGATAAACTTTAAAATTGTATGTTGCAATTTGAAAATGTAGCGTGGGCCAGATAAAAATGGCTATAGTATAGTCTATAATTAAAAAAATTAAAAAATTCCTCTTCCCTCTTAGGATTTATTAATATGAGTTTTCTTAATGGTATTATATATGTTTCACTAGCTTAACAGTAAGAAAATAACTGATCAATAACAACTTTTGAACCAGCATTTTAAAAAATATTAGCAGGATATATTATATCCTTATATATATTAGAGCTGGAGCAGTAGTGGTGTTGTAGTGTATTAAAAAAATGTTAATATCTTTAAAAATACTGGTTAAAATTTATTATCAACCTATCATTTTCTTAGTTAAATAATTTTCTTATTTTTAAGCTAATTAAAAATATATATATCTATTAAAAATACTCATGTTATTACTACTTAAAAATAGGGAAAGGACCAATTCTTTTTCTCCAAAATTATACAATATTGAATACTGAAGCTATTAACATCTGAAAAGATAAAATTATTATAAGTTTTATACTTTTGAAGATATTGTGTGAAGTGTATTTAATCAATAACCCTGTCATATAGTGAGTTTGTCCCTTATGCATTATTACCCCATTAGTCCAATCAATTTCTTGTGTATCTCACAAAGGTTTCTAGCATAGTACAACTATAGTACGATAAATGGCAGATTGCAGCAACAAACGAATAATAAACTAGTAAAACTATAAAAAAATCTTGCTTATTTTCAAAGTTTAAACTGGTAAAGAAACTAAAATGGACTATTAGAATTATATAATTTTAAGTGTTTCATGTACATTTAAATATAAATATAATGAGGGTGCTGGTTAGCCATATAAAGAGGTAGGAGAATTGAGTTCCCTTGTGTCTTTATTCACTTTAAGCCTTGTTTGTTATGAATACATAACCATTAGTGCCATTATAAAACAATAGAATGGCTTAATAGTGTTTAAATTTTCAATCAATTCTTACTTTAATTTAATAAATTTAATCAATTTAATTTTAATAATTTAACAATATAGGATATGAATGATGAAAAAAAAAATGTTTACAAAAAAATGGCTGCAGAATTAAATGCTCGTCAGACTAAAGCTCATACTCCTCAACAAATAGAAAGGCTGCATGAAAATAGTGATGATTATTGGATGATGCAAACATATGTGGAAAAAATGTTTCAATTTATACCTGATAATGATCGTATGACTTCCCTTTATATTTGATAGTTTTATTGTAAAATTTGTTACAATGAACATTTTGAAGTGTTACATGAAAATCAGCATAAGTTATTTTTTGTCTCATTTAATATATTTTTCTATAGGAAATTAGATTTAAAAAAATTATTCGGAATAAAAGACAAAATTTTAACTTGTGTATTTCTTATAAAAAATATTAATTTATTTAAATGATAATTTACTCTATCATTCAAATTATTGTCTATAGTAATTTTAATATTTGTTATATTTTTAGAATTGCTAAAAAGAAAATTTATGTTATTACATATTAATTGTCATGCTCATGATGGAGAGCAATATTATTTTCCTGCTGAAATATCTGCTCTAGAATTTTCATTATTAAAAGGTGTAACACGCATGTATCACAAAATAATAGGCATATGTAAGTATTATATGTTAGGTCAGATTTATTATTGGGGAATCATAATTTTTGGTTTTGTATGATAAAAAAATAAAAACCCAGCACAGAAAGTCGCAGTACAGTGGTGACGTGGCATAGTTGGGTCAAGTATAATGATATCTGACAGTGATTAAAATCACTATCATAAAAACCCTTAGATGCAAATCTTTAGATAGTGTTTAATTTTAAAAAATTGGTGGATTATTACAAAAGCTACATGATCTACTATTTCCTTATTTATATCCTGATTAAGATAAAGTATGTCGAATGGAAGAGATATATAAATATTATTTCTCATAAAAAAATTGTATTAATCCATATACTTTTCAATAAGTTAAAGCATTATAAAGTTAAAAATGTAAAAAATAAAATCCAGAATTTTCATACAAAAATAGCATTTGGTAACACTTTCACATTACTGCCCCCCTTTAATTGCAGCCTTGTAAATTAATATTTAAAAGTAAAATTATTTAAAATGTGTTAAAATTTCTTTTATCTCATATATGTGCAATCCATTTAGCTCATCTAATAACACATTGTCACAGTGTGTAGATATGACTGTTTAATTATGTTGTTATATATTTTATTAATCTGGCTATATAGGTTTTCTCTTCCTTCTAGCACATAAAATAGTTAATAATAGATACAATTATTACTAAAATTTTATATCATTATCATCTCCATAGCCTTCATCCAACTTTTAGTTGTCTGATCTACCTTAAAATGATTAGACTAGATTTTTATATTACTGTCAACTTGATGCAACCTCATTATAACTGTGGGAGCTAATATGGGGCTAGATGTGTGTTACTGTTAAAGTTTCCATGTGGTCTCCAATCTAGTAAGGTAGTATCTGAATGTACTGCACACTACCATCTTTACTAAAAATTTCAATATTCTATTAAAATCAATATACACTGTTTAATTAACTGAAAAAGGGCTGAGGTTAACTTATAGTAAGGCATATAGTATCAACAGTACAGTAATTTGAGTTATAGGATATTAATTTTGGGATAATTATAAATGAATTTTGCTGACTATAGATAAACTTGCTTTATTTAAGATTGTAAAACAATCTGATTTCTGTTGCAGCAAAGATTTACCCAAAAGGTTTTGCTGGTGGTATGAGAGAACATTCTGATAAATTTCATCAGATATCTTGTTGGGATGAACACTCAGATAATTATAATGAAATATTATTAGAGTTACTTAGTTTTTTAAAAGTAACTCAAGTCGAATTAAGTATATATTTTTATTGTATTTTAGTTCAATTTTTATTTCCTAGGATGGACAAGTTTTTAATTCAGATTTAGTCGAAGGTAAATTAGATTTACCATATATGTTTACAATAGAAACAGAAAGTGGTTCAAATATGATGAATGCAAAGTCTAGTCTTGAAACTTTATACAGCACTGTTTTTCCAGAGCGTAAGTATAATTATATTAATTATAATCGTCAAACATTAAGATTTATTGCATTTCATGTTAAATGCAAGTTCAATGTGAAGCTATAGATCAATTGGGTTGGATAATGAAGGAAACTATGAGTCTGAAAACTTAATAATACTTTTAATATATTTCATTTTTTATAAAAATTTTACAATTAAATTATTTTAATTAAATTATAGTTTTAAAATTTTAATATAGACAGAATAAATTTAAAAGACATTACATTTTATAGCTTTACAAAAAAAAATTATGATATTAAAATTAGTACATTAAATGAATATGACATTTAAAAATAAAAAGTATTGATCATCAAATCAAGTTAATCTTATATAACATGATTTAGTTATAAACTGAATTAACTACAAAATAAAAATTAATTTTATATATATTTTTTATTGATATATATTTTTTGATTTATTAATTATTAAATCTGTATTTCAGTGTTGAAATAACTTCTAAAATACTGAATTAAAAGATTTTAACAACCAATAATTTTCTAGTAAACTAACTAAATAAAATGAATTTTTTTTATAGATACTTCAGAACGGTATAAATCACTATTCAAAATGGGATCAGTTGAAAGGTTATTCAACGAAATTCTAAAAAGGTTCAATATTCATTTAGATGAAAGATATATTAGATCTGGAATGACCATTCATGACATCCTAGAATCTGATATATATGGGCATGGTCTTGGTTGTATGGTAATTTGAATACAGATAGACATAATCTATGTTTTTACTAATCTTTGGTAATTTTCTGTTCAATAATTTAATTAGTGTTAGAAGAACCAACGTTTATTTTTTTTCAATAGCTTGTTGATATCAGAATTTTTAACAGTATATTTAAGCACATTGTAATATGTCAAATTTACTATAATAATTAGATCATTTGAACTTATATAAAACAAAAATAAAAAAGAAATTTGAATTTTAGAATAATTTATTTTGTTTTCCACAAATTTCATTCGAATAACTTAGGTCCTATTAAAAAAAATTGATTCAAATATCAAAACACAAAAAAAGTACCAAGTCACCATAAAAATAAACTTTTCAGTATAAGGATAAAACCATTTATTTAAAATGCATGAACTTATTACATGAGTCTACTTGATTTCTGTTATTCTTGTGTTATATAGTAATATTAGCCTCAATTGTTTTTGATAAATTTTTATTAAGGGTCCAATGCCATTATCTGCAGTTTTCATTTTACTCAAAACTTCATGTTTTCTTATACAGTTAAATGTAATTATAAAAATCAGTTATATAAATAATAGTATTTAATATACAGAATTTCAAATTATATTATTTAGTATTTTAAGTTTTTTAAGTTATTAAAAAATATGAAGATAACTGTATTTGATGCTTTAATTATTTTAAACAATATTTTTAAATTAATTTAATTATTATTTTAATTTATATTCATTATATTTTATTACCTATGTTTATATCTTTTCATGACTTTATATTTTAGCTTTGATGCGAAGCTGAGAAGGTATTAGTTTTACTATGATGTTTTTTTTTTGTCTGTTACCACTTTTCTCAGCTCTAACCGAAACGATTTCTTTCAACGATACGTCAAAAGATGACAAATCGTATCTAGTCGAAGACATTACTTTCAAAAATTGAAAAAATTTCCCTCGTTCCCGTAAACCTCCAAAAAAATTACAAATTTAAAAATCGCTAATTTTTTTAATTTTTTTTACTTAAAACTGCCATAACTTTTTCAAAGCTGAACAAATCAATATAATTTTGTTTTTCTATAGATACTTGATGTCTTTACCTATTATTCGATATATTTTTTTTTATAAATTTGACCCTTTACCTGCCCACTGGGGGGGATTTAAAATGACAACTTTTGCACAAAAAATTAACTTTTTCAACTTAACTTTGTCTTTATGGTTACCGAATGCAATTTTTGTATGAAAATTCTCGATTTTATATTTTACATTTTTAATTTTATAATGCTATAACTTATTGAAAAGTGTATGGATCAACACAATTTTTTTATTAGAAATAATATTTTTTAATAATCTTTTTTTCATTCGACGTACTTTATCTTAATCAGGATATTAATAAGGAAATAGCAGATCATGTAGCTTTTGTAATTATCCATCAATTTTTTAAAATTAAACACTACAGATTTGCATCGAAGCGTTTTTTTTTATAGTGATTTTAATCAGTCAGATATCATTATACTTGATCCAACTATGCCACGTCACTACTGTGCCGTGAACCCCCTGTACTGGGCTTTTTTTTGCTTAAAAATGTGTTATACCTTTTTTAAAAATTACCAAAACAATATAATTCTTTTAGCTTCGATGCGAAGCTGAGAAGGTATTAATTTTACCATGATATGTTTTTTTTTTTTTTTTATGTCTGTTGCCACTTTTTCTCAGCTTTCACTTGACCGATTTCTTTCAACATTACGTCAAAAGATAACAAATCGTATCTAGTTAAAGACATTACCCTTAAAAATAGAAAAAAATTTTCCTCGTTCCCCGCAAATGGGGGACATCTCCAAAAAAATTACAATTTTTAAAATCGGTAAATTTTGTCAATTTTTTCACTTTTTTTTCTTAAAACTTCCATAACTTTGTCAAAAATTAACAAATCAACATAATTTTTTTTATATTAAAACCTTTTCGCATAATGTCCACTTTAAAACTTTCCTCAGTGCTATATCATACTTTTCTCCTAATCTATAAATACCATACACAGCTTTTTCTTCTATTTCCTAAACTTTTCTATTAGTTGCCACACACAAAATAATGGCTTCATTGTTGACTTACCAGGCATAAATCCAAACTGATTTTTAGATACTCTAAGTCTCATTTTTATTCTCTTATACTTTACCCAATTTTTCATAATATGAAATATTATATGACTCATAAGCTTTTTGAATCTATAATTTCCACACTTCTGTATGTCTCTTCTGCTTTTAAATTTCGACACCACAATAATATTCCTCCATTCATATAGAATTTTTCCTTGTAATGAGGTTTTACTTAAAAGTTCCTTGAACTACCTAATGGCAATACCGCCTAATATTTTCTATTGTTCTCATTGTTACAAACAATGAGAACAATAGAAACCCGTTTCCTGACTTACTAAACACTCTGNATATTCTAATTACTATTAAAATTAATATATTAACACGATTTATTCTAATTAAGAGATATAAAGTATTCATTCCGATTACGAGGGATGATTTCCGTATCGTCATTTTTCGTCACTACCTCCACGTTCCGGTAGTGAGTAATTTACGCGCCTGCTGCTTTCCTTTGATGTGGTAGCCGTTTCTCAGACTCCCTCCCCGGAATCGAACTCTGATTTCCCGTTACAACCAAGATATTGATAGTAACTACTATCATAACATGAAACTAAAAAGTAAAAAATAAATATAATTATTTAAAAATTATTTTTAACTTTTTAGTTCGATGTGCTTTAAAAGCGTGTTTTTTTAGTTTTTTTAAACTATATTTATTTATTTTTCAACAATAGGACAAATAATTACAATTTATATCTAGTTTAAGATATTACACTCAAAAATTGAAAATAAATCCCTTAATCAAATAATAAGTAGCTTAACCAGTTTTATCCACACAAACTAAGAATCATTCATTTCTTATGTTTCTAAAGAATTTATTGTCAAATTAGGTTTTATATGATAATAGTATTCAACTACAAAATGAAATAATTTAACTTTGTAATTTGTTTATTTTTTTACTTTAATTGTGTCTAATACTAGTCTATAATATTCCAAATTTTTTGTAACTTGTTACTATATAAATAATTTCTAAAAAATGATTTTTGATTTCACATGAACTTAACAAAGAATTTTTAGAATTTTGATTAGTTATTTAATAAAGTAAATCATTTAATTCAGTTCTGCATATTTGAATTGTAAACACCAAAAGTTACTTAGAAAGTTACTATGATTTTTATTTAAGTGATTTATTAATAAAATTTCTTGACCGCATATTAATCTTAACAAAACAATTTGTGTTATACTCATAAAATTTTCTATTTAATGATGTCAAATTTAAACTTGCAAGTTGAACTAAAAGTTATGGGAACAAATTCAACTTTTTTTACTATAAAATTTAACAAAACTTTATCCAAAGTTTTTCATCAACTTTAAAGGACAAAAAAAATAGGTTAAGAATGATATGAAAGCACTGATTTCGTAATAATCAGTATTAATTTGACAACTTTTTTTTATAATAATCTGAAAATTTTGTTTTTTTTGTGTTTGTTTTAGTTATTATTTTATGTAATTAGTAATAAAATAAAAAACTAGAAGTGATAGAAAAGTCTAATTGTAGATTTGAAAACAGCACCAAAAGTTGATTTAGAAAAGTATATTTTTGATTCTATAGAAAGTCCTTTGTAGTCCAGTGTATTTATTCATAAGTAACAGAAATATTTTTTTGAAAAGTATTGCATCAAGCTTTTTAAATTTTTATACATGTTAAATGTAAAGAAATATAAAACTAATTTATTATTTTTATAATTACTCTGTATAATTTACAATATTATATTTATACTTATGAATATCAATTTTATATTAAATGAAGGAAATAAGAATTGATGTTACTTTTGGAATAATCCACCAATTTTTAAAATTAAACACTATCTACAGATTTGCATTTGCATCCAAAAAATTTAGGAGTTTATTTTGTCTTCACGGTTAAAAAGGCTACTGTATGCTATTTTTATGTTAAAATCCTTGATTTTATATTTTACATTTTTAACTTTAAAATGCTATAACTTTTTGAAAAATGTATGGATAAATACAATTTTTTCATGAAAAGTAGTATTTATATACATCTTTCATTCAACATACTTTTTTTTTAATTTGGACCATTTCCCTTAATACAGGGGGGTTTAAAACATAAAAATGCATAAAGAAAGTAGAACTTTTACACTTAAATTTTGAAAGTGTTTCAGAAAGTCTGACACTTATATATATCTTAAATTAAAGCTTATATAATGTACTTTATTATGAAAAAAAAAATTCAGATTTATTTTGTCTTCACGGTGAAAATGTCTTTTTGTGTGAAAATTCTCGATTTTATATTTTACATTTTTAACTTATATTTCTATAACTTTTTGAAAAATGTATAGATCAATATAATTTTTTCATTTGAAACACTTTTTGAAATTTATTTATAAATAACAAACTTTTTTTTTTAAGTATTGTAGACCTTCAACCTTTATATACGTTTGCCATAAAATTAATAACTACTTTATAGTTTTTTATAATTTCGCCAAAAAAATTACAATACTAAATTATTAAATATCAATTTCATACTATATTTAATTGCTACATTTAATATTTATTCATATATAAAACTTATAAATCATAAAACTTGTAATCACGATATTAATAAGGAAATAGGAGATCATGTTGCTTTTGTAATAATTCACCAATTTTGTAATATTAAACACTATCTACAGATTTGCATCGGAGCGATTTCATGATAGTGATTTTAACCACTGTCAGATTAAATCTATACTGGACCCAACTATACCACATCCCAATTGTGCTGAGTTTTCTTATTGAAATGTTTTTTTAAATTTAAGGATAGTCATATTATAGATAATTTTTGAAGTAAAATTTTAATACCAAAAACTCAGTTTTAATTTATTTGTTACGTTTATACAGCATTTTGAAATTTGTTAAATTTTGATTTTTCTTTTCAATTTTCCTATGTTATCACATGTTAGTCCATATAATGTAAAGAACGGAATTAAACATTATCTTTTTACGTTATTTACTAGTAACAGTACTCGAATTTTTTTCCATAAACTTATATGGTTTCTTATTGCCTTCTTTACTAAAAATATGTAATAAATAACATATTATCTTACTTAAAGCATATTAACTTATAATAATTTATATATTACAATTTTATAGTATCATGAACTAAAGGAGATTGCATATAAATGTTCAAAGTCGCGTATTCTTCAATGGATGTCAAATATGTGTAAACATATACATGATTATACTGGTCTTGAACTTATTCCTGGAAGACATGTAGCAGTTTTGTTGAGGGATGGATCAAGAATGGTATTGCTTTAATTTCTATACTGTTCACAAAATTAATTATAAATATAACATTCTAATAAAGTGATTTTTAATATTACAAAGATTATTGAAAATGAAGAAGTACCACTTACTAGAACTGATCTCAAAATGAAATCATTAACCGAATATATTGACTATCAAGAAGATTTTTAATTAATTTTTTTCTATTAACATGATTTAAAATTTAATTTATTTTTTTTTTAAATCTAATGTATCATTTTCTTTTTAATATTTTGTTTGACTTGTTATTATAATTAAAGTACTTAAATATGATTTTTTTAAGAATTTAAATCAATTATTATCTTTAAAAATAATAAGTGAACAGTTTAATAATATTTCCAATTACTATTATTAACATTTTTGCTAAAAATTTAGTGTTTAATGATTTGTTAATAATTTAATTACTATAATACTTATTTAATTAAAATTTGGTACTTTTATAATAGTATTTTTGAGATTAATTTTAATTCACTCATAATATTTATTTTGACTTAATATCTATATTTAAAGAATATTGCAAATATAAGTGTCGCTATTAGCATAGTGGCAATGTATAAACCGTGAAAAAAGCAAAAAAAAAAAAATTGGTTACAAGAGCATTACATTTTTTCCTAATCAAATATAAATTATAACATTGGAGCAGTAAGGAAAAAAACAAATAAAAACTCTTACGTATTAACAAAACATTTCCTTGTATTTATTGCATAAAAATTTTTTCCGTAAGAATAAAAAAAAAATAGTGACCTACATAATTCAGGTAATTTTTAGCCCAAAAATTGTTCATTATACTAACTAACAAAAATAAACATTTTTTTACATAAGTATCAGAATCAATAATTAATTTTTCTTCTTATAATTATTAAAATTATCGTATCTACTGGGCTCCGTCAAGCTGGAGCTCCGCCTCAGACTTGGAACCTTACTAGCCTCACGCCTCTTCGTGGCGTAAGCCTCTTTGGAGCTTCATAAGTAGGCCACTGGTTCCGGTAGGCGTACGCCGAACACAATAAATTACTTGCAGGAAAAAAATTTATTAAAAATCAGTGTCAGTATAAAAAAAATATTTATCTTTTTCCTCTCGTTAATCCTAACTACTTGGGGTTGGCCAAGATAAAAAAAATATATTAAAAATTTAATTATTTAAATCAGGAAAATTCAAAAAGACAATATAGTAAAATATTGCATTGGGTATAAGGTTGACATTTGTTAATGAGATATTCCCCTTGGATGTATTTAAAAATTATTTCAGGAGAGTATTTAATTTTTTTTACTTTGGTAAACATGCTATAGATTTTTTTGCTAAAAATAAAAGTGATAATCAAAAAAATGATTATTAGGCCCATATTTCTAAGAAATTGCTTATAAAAATATTGAGGGCTCTGGTTCAAGGGAAACAATCGCCCACATCACCCTGAAATACGCTGCTGGTATACACAATAATTATTAATATTCTAATTATAATAATTGTATTAATATTATAGAATAATAACAAAAAAAATTGACAAGTTATTATTCCTGGGAATATGTAAAAAATGCAATTTTGATAAAAATATTGGTTACTATGATTTGACGTTGGACAGCATAGTTGTCCTAGATGAATCCCAAATTTTACGATAAAATCATAAACTTTTACATCATATATGAGATAAATACAATTAATACTTATAACCGTTCAGAAATTTATGTATAACTTTTCAAAGAATCCTTGATAAAATATAAAAAATTATTGCCATGAGCAAATACAAAATCGTATTCTAATATAAACTCTTCGTGGACATAAAAAAAAATTAAGTTCAAAGCGAAAAAAGTACATTTGAACAATAAGCTAATTATAAAACCAAAGTTAAAATATATATATATATATAACAATAAACTTGATTAAATATATCAACAAATTTTATATTATAAACATATTTGAACATATTGAAAAACATAACAGAAAGTATCTGTATACTAAATAAACTAAACATAGTATGTAAAAATAACAAATATAATATCTAAACAAAAAGATAATCTAACCCAAAAAATTCATATATGACAACTATCACATGTATTAAAAATCCATTTTCTACAAACTCGAAGACAATATAAATGCACAAAAAGGAGTCAATACCCTTATTCAGAACAATCGCATGATTGCTTTAATACAAAAAAGCTCGTAGAACGGTGAAAAATGAACGGATTGAATTAATTTTTTTAAGAAATGTCTTTGGGCTGATCTGGTGAAAATTTCAAACCTTAAATCGTAAAACGCTGGCGTAAGCAATCGTTTTTCTCGAAAACGGTCGAAATATTAGAAAACTCATGGTTGAGCGGTAAAAATTTTCAGACCTTCACCAATAATTTTCCTAGGGTTTGAACAAGTACTTTTGTTGAAAAAAAATTGTTTTGAAAATCCGAGGATGCTGAGTGATATGTATTTGAACCGGTTTATCGGAATTGTTACCGCCGTTCGGTGGTATCTTTTTGTTTAATACTAGTTGTATATTATACACACATGTGTTGCATCATTCGTGTCACCTCATCATACATATAAGTGGCGACGACTGGATTTTTTTTTTTGTATACTGTGTTTTAAAATATCAAATTAAAATAAATACCAATGTCTGGTATAGCAAATTTTATTTCGGCATTCGAGCCAGAGCGGGAGCAGTTTAAAAATTATTTAGACCGATTAGAAGCACAGTTAATCGTGCTAAAAGTCAAAGAGGGAGATAAGGAAAATTATTTAATTGCATATATTGGTCCTGAAACGTATAATCATTTGAAAGTAGCATGTTTGCCGGACGAACCGGGTGATAAAGTCTATGATGAATTAATCACTATCCTTGAAGGAATTTTCTCTCCGCGTCGATTAGTAGTGAGTGAACGATTTAAATTTAATCAACGTGTTCAACGGGCAGGTGAATCTATCCAAGAATTCATCGATAGTTTAAAAAATTTAGCAAAATCTTGCAAATTCGACACCTTTTTAGACGACGCGTTGCGGGATCGTTTTATTGTTGGTCTGAAGGATGAATCAATACAACGCAAATTACTTGCCGAGAAGACTTTAAAGTTTGAAAAAGCATGTGAAATTGCCTTAAATTCCGAATTAGTCGGTAGTCAAACTAGCTAAATAAACCAGTGATATTCGCAAATTAATGCGGTTACTAAATCGTACGTGGAATTTAAGAAAAACACAAATAATACCACGATGGTGTTTAATAAAAATATAAACAAGTTCCAAGGGAAAACTAGTAAATTTAGTACTCGAAGTAGTCCATCAAATCATAATTACGTCAGGGATCAGCCGCAGAATCAGTCATCTCAAGGTAGTGATGATAAAAAATAGCAGTAGCAGCTATAATAGTACTGCTATTTTACAGTCGCAGACTGCTATTCAGTGTAAATAATAGCAGTGATTGCTAAATTTCGTAATTTATGTTTTTCAACAGTCTACACTGTATTATAACTGCTACACTGCTACTATATTATAACTCATAATATAATGGAAAATAGCAGAAGCTATAGAGCGGCAGGCTTGGTGTTATGTATGATATTTGATAATGCGCATTCGACATTAGCTGTTAAGCGTCTAAAATGTTTCTGTTATCAACGCTTATCCAGTTACCAGATATCAATATCTAATACGGCAAATACAGTTTTATCGGTAAAAACAAAAACCACAATAGTCAATATTACATTTTACAAATCTAGTATTATCAATTATTGTAAAATGATACCAAATATTGTCTTACGATTCATTGTTAAATAAATAAAATAAAACTATCAAAAACAAACAATCAACTATACCCTATGATATGTAGAAGAAGAATGTGCTTCATTTGTATTATCTTATAGACATAAGAGTTGGTATAATAATTCAACATGTTAATACCAGTCTAGAAATGGAATTTTATTGTTTATTTTTATATTTTTCATTCATACATTTAATTATGAAACATACTAAGCATAGCTTTTATTAATCTTGTCTGANTACTAAACATAGCTTTTATTAGTCTTGTCTGAACATGCACATTCAGAGAAATAGGCATAGTTGGAAAAATGATATATGTCATCTCTCCATAATGTCATAAAAGATTAAACAATATGCAATGTAATAATGTATAATAATAATAATTAATAGTTTAAAAATAAAAATGTTTTGGTCTATTTAGTAATGTTTTATTTACTATGTTTTAATCTATACACCACCCATCCAAAATACATTTTCAATTCAACATAAAATACTTGGTACTGTACTAAGATACATTTTAGCTTTGATGCGAAGCTGAGAAGGTATTAATTTTANTTTTTTTAATTAATAAAGTACTTGAAACACTAACGACAGTTTTTTCAAGTATGATAATAATCATATTAATTTATTTATTTATGAAAAACAATACATAACATTTTAAATTGTATAGAAAATAAAATAAAAAAATATACTTCCCAATAAGCATTTTTAATTAATTAATTGTTTTTTATTAAATATAGTAATATAAGGAACTAATATAAAATTTCCTAAAAAATAAAGTCCAAACACATTTTGCTTTTTTGACCAATCACAATTTTCAATTTGCTTGAATTTAGAGTTGATAATTCTTTAAATCTAATATTTATTATACTCATATTAAATAGTACAAATCCTAATGTCCGTTTTATTCATTTAGAAAAAATATTTTTGAAATAAAGCCCATAAATATGATTGTTAATTGAAGTTCACATTATTTTTCAGTCTACAATTATTAATATATTTATGTCAAATGGTTCACCTTCACAGTTCACACTAACATGGCTTAAACATTATATATATATTAATGTAATATTAGAACCGTTGAATATCATAGTATCATACGCCAGTTGAATAAATTATACATCATACTGCCCGCCATCAATGCCTTGAGCCCATGGCCCTAACGAAAATAATGATTTCTACAGTGTTATTGCTAATTGCTATAAACATTAGCTGTTAATAACTAAAAATTAATGATAAGCATTATGCTACGAGCTGTTTTTACAAAATAGCAATAGCTGCTATTTTTTACTGCTATTTTAAAATAGCAATAGCATTTAAATGTTAAAAAAAAAATAGCAGTTTACCATCACTATCTCAAGGTAATGGTCAGTCAGGCAGTGTTTTTGGCGTGGAAGAAATCATGATCATCGTACGATGATAACAGACATTTTCTAAAGCGGGATACACAATTACTGGAAGCTGTAATAGACTTAAAGTTAAAAATTCAGAGATGTTACTGTTTTTAAATAGTAATTTTTTTATTAAAAATATAATTTTAGAAGACGTTTTTTATGTAGTTTAATAATTTAACAACATAATTATTATGTTATAAATTATTTAAAATTTTAAGAAGAAATTGAAAATATTTTTTGAAATAAATATTGTTTTGAAGATATTTTTAATTTTGTAATATACTTATATAATTAAAAAAAAATAGTATGTTATTTAATATATTGGTTAACAACATGATAGTTTTATACTTTAATAATTGATTACGCCTCATATTAACTTGGCCAAAATACGGTATGTGTCTAAAAAATACGGTTACTTATTTATTCTGTTGTAAGGTATCTATTTTTTTCATTAAAATTTAATATTATGCCTATCAATATTTCTGTATTATTACTGCTAAAAAAAAAAATTCTTATCGAAAAATTTTCCGAAAAGCATTCGCGCCTTATTACCTGATGAGTAAATGACATCACGTCCGCGTAGGTACAACTGTTTATATGATCAATAAATAATGGTTTGATTTTGGTAACGGGTCGCAATGAAGGTACTCAATTACAAAAAAGTAAAAGTACCGTGGTACCAAGTACTCTGTAATCGTTACTTTTAAGTAACTGTACCGAAAGAAATGATTCCACTAAAGGAACGAAAATTCCCACCACTAGTTGACACACATGGATACAATGATACTTTCTAGTAAATGCGTGGCATTTTGTCAAGTATCATTATTAGGTATATCCACAGTCGTCCTATGAGTAATTTATAGAGGCCGCTGCCTATCTTTATCTATACCAGTGGTTCTCAACGGGGGCGATATCGCCCCCCAGTGGGCAGTGAAGTGTCACTGGGGGGCATTGAACTAGTTTTGGGTGATAGAAGGGCGGAAAGCGTGTTCACGCAAAAACGTTGTACATGGTGCAACCTAAAAATAATTCATACTTGATAATCCATATAATTACTATTAGTTACTAATAGGTACTATATGTTGAACAATGCACAATAATTTATATTTCATTGTTGACAAATTTATTATCTTTATTATTTTAGCGATTGTGCGTGGACATTATATTTTATTATAGGTAACCTATATTAACCAACTTTTTAGTACACCGTTTGATTTGACCCGCGTATGTTGTATTAGTTTTCGTTATTATACTCGTAATATTCAGTCTATTAAAAACGTGTTTTTTAAAACAAATTTTCCGTTTCATAAAATTGTATTTTCAAAAAATGTCGGATGCAAAAAGAAAATGCCGTCAATATAATACGACGTATTTAAAGTTCGGATTTATTCCATTGTCATCCAACATGCAGCTTCCAATGTGTTTACTTTGTAACAAAGTGTTCTCCAATGAGGCAATGAAACCATCTCGTTTGCAGGAATATTTGCAAAAAGTTAATTCTGACAAACAGAATAAAGATTAGTCGTTTTTCACAAATATTAGGGACAAGTTTCGGAAGACGTCATCGGTCTCAGGCTTATTCACAGGCTCATCAAAACAATGCGATGGTGGTTTGATTGCTTCTTCTAATATATCAAAATTGATTACAAAATCTAGAAAAACCCATACCATAGGTGAAGAGTTAATACTTCCAGCTGTCAAAGAAACGGTTTTACACTATTTTGCCTCACACAGTGTAATCAAAAAAGTCCCATTAAGCAAAGATACTGTGCGACGGTGAATCGATGAAATGGCGGAAGATGTCGAAATTTCATTATGTGAACTTCTAGTATCCACCCAATTTTCACTTCAAATCGACGAATCAACATTACTGAGTAATGAGGCTTTACTATTGGCATACGTCCGGTTTGTAAAGGAAGGAAAAATCGTTCAAGAGATGCTTTTTGCAAGAACCTTGGTTACTGATACTTAAGGTGAATCNAAAACCTTGGTTACTGATACTAAAGGTGAATCTATTTTCAATATAGTCAAAGACTTTTTTAAAGAAAAAAATGTTCCTCTTAAAAACGTTATATCTATTATCACTGATGGAGCACCTGCAATGATAAGACGTCATCGTAGGTCGAATGAATGAAATACCCAGTATTTAAGCTATTCACTGCGTAATTCACAGACAATATTTAGTTGCAAAAAACCTCAGTGACCATTTCTATCAGTCATTACAATATGTCATATCTACTGTGAATAAAATTCGTAGTAATTCGTTGAACAATCGACTATTTACAAAGCTATGTAAAGAAAACGACGCAGAATTCAATCGTTTGCTTTTACACACCGAAGTTCGCTGGCTCTCCAAAGGTGCCTGTCTCAATAGGTTTTGGAACCTTTTCGATTCTGTGCTTGAGTTTCTTGAAGAGAAAGATGTACAGCTCAGAAACAGGTTGATTCTGTTTAAAAGCGATGTTGTTTATATGACCGATTTATTCGCAAAGTTTAATGGCATTAATTTGCAACTGCAAGGTGACGAGCTCAATTTAATAACGTCAAAATCGGTTATTTCTACATTCCAAAAAATTTGACTTAGTAGAAAACCAATTTTGGTCGCCAAGAGTTCAACCAGTTTCCAGTCTTGCCTGATCTGCACAAAACCAGTGAAATATGTTTCAACAACATACAAGTTTACTATCAACATCTCGAGTCTTTACATATGGACTTTTCAGAACGTTTTAAGGATATTTTGTCGTTGGAAGTTCCTCAATGGGTCATGAATCCTTTTATAAATATTGAGAGAGCAGAGGTACAAATTCAATAAGAACTAATTGAACTTTCAACTAATGAAACATTGAAATCCAGTTCCAATGGTAGTGATCGGCTCACGGAATTTTGGCTTCAAACTAACATAACTCATCATTATCCTGGACTGTGGAGTCTCGTTAAAAAAATTTTAATAGCTTTTTCTTCCTCATATCTCGTCGATCGAGAGTTCAGCACTGTAACAGATTTAATTACAAAGAGGAATCGACTCGATATCATGACAAGAGGAGACTTATGACTTATGTTAACCAGTATCGAACCTAATGTCGAAAAACTGGCTAAAAACTACCAAGTTCCATCATCTCACTGAAATGATTTCAGTTAGACATGATGTCTACACATACAATAAAAGCAATATTTTTTTTAAATAAACTAAAAAAATGTACTTATTATTATAAAATAAAATTAATAAATTATTAAGTTTTTTTTCAAATGTTTAATTTAATTACTTTACTAATACTATAATTAAAGAAATATGAAAAATAAAACATAAATGAAAACATTAGTTATGAGATAATTATTCAAATTTTCCAAATCATTAACTTCCTTCCTATCTCTCAGTCCATATCATTAATTATAGAATTTTCACATAGAGGGTCGTTAAAGAATTGATTCCTACTCAAGGGGGCGGTAACATAAAAAAGGTTGAGAAACACTGATCTATACCATATGACCTGATATGTGATAACACTTTAAAGATAATAATTTTGAATATTTATTTAGCCAAAGTAATTTTGAAATTTAAATCATTATTATTACCTTAGGTCTATTTAAATACTTTAATTTTATACTTTATTATTGCATGCATAGATTATTTTTGAAGCTATAGAATAAATATGAGTGATCCTCCAGATGATCAAACTATCAAGTCAAAAGATGAAACTTATATTCAATTAGTTAACCGAATTTTCAGTAATGAGCCATTTAAAGAAAAAATGATGATGCCAACTGTTATGGGACGACCAGTTATAAAAACTGTAGAAGAAAAATTCCTAGATTCTGTTACAGAAAGTTGTATATTTAAATCGTTACTGAGTGGCGTAATGGGTAAATAAAACATTTATTTAAATCAGTACTTATTTTATACTTAAAAAACTGTTCTTATTTTATAGATTGTCACCTTATTCTTTGTTTTCTATTCTATAAACCTTTTAAAGTCGGATTTAACACTACTATAATTTTTTAAAAAACGTTTTCTTTTAAAAGTACTGTATTTTATGAATTTTGTATCTTTGTGATACTATTTTTATAATTTTAAATTTAAAGCTAAAAGTATGATTCATGTATGAATAAATATTGTGCATATATATAAAAAAATATTAATCATTGATATTCGAAACTAGTGAACAATTTTTATAATTAAATGATGTTTTGAAAAATACAACCAGTCTAATAAAAAAAATTGTTTTTGAAATGATACTTGATAAAAAATTTTATTTAAAGGAAAACTTTTTGTGGATTTGTTGCATTTTGTATAACTATTCAATTAATGTTACCTTATTGAAGTTGTCCCAAAATTATAAAATAACTAAGGGGTTGAAAAATATATTTTTACTAACTAATTATTATTTATAAAACTGTTTGGTAATTTATTCTATATTGAAAAATTATAGACAAAAATTTAGAAAAAGTATAAGATTAAACCTATCATTCGATATAGACCTAACTTAATAACCCAATTATCCTTCTTAATAATATAGAATGTTCTCTATTGTTTTATTTTGCTCTGAATTAAGATAAAGCAACATTTTTACTTTCTCAAGGAAAATATTATTTTTATCAAAAATTGAAGTAAAGTTAATATGTCAACTTTGATATTATTTTAATGTTACCTATATTTTCCTGTTTTATTAATTAATTATGTACAAACGTTTTAAGTTATAATAAACCAATGTAGAACCAAAAAAATGTATAAACAAAAAAAAATTAATTTTTTCCAATTACTTTTATTAAATTTTGTTTTTAAATCGTGTAACTTTGGAGTTACTTTAATTAAAATTATAACTTCTAATTTTAAAAGTTCTATTATTATAATAATAAATTCTACAAAAAAAAAAAAACTAAATAATTTAGTTTAAAAAATAAAACATTTTTTGGTTAATATATTTCTTTGATCATACATCAACAAATTGAAGTTTATAAAATTTAGAATTGTGTTAACTTAAAATAGTAAAAATTATTCTTTTAAGTCAATAATTTTTATTATTACCAAATCCAACCATAATTAAATAAAGTTTTGTAAACTAATTGATAAACCCACTAAACTAAGAGGAAGAAATTGAATGTAACAATTTGTGCATTTCAATTAGTTAAAAAAAAATTGTATAAATGTTTCAGAATTATACATTGTTTATTAATATTAATCCTTGAGATTCTAAACCCCATTTTATTAAAAGATTCAAATATTTTTTTAAAGTGAGCTGGATTGCCACAATTATTGTGCCCTCTTGGTTTTATCCTCTCAGTCTTTCTCTGTTTTTAATATATTTATATACTGGTCTCTGGTTATTTTAAAATTCAAATTTATTTTAATAGGTTTTGCTCTTGGAGGTGCTATTGGTCTCTTTACATCAAGTGTCAACCCATCTATTAAACCTCCTGGGCAACAGGAAACTGTAAGAGAAATTTTACGTGAAATGAAAACATCATCCATAGGATATGCTAAAAATTTTGCATTACTTGGTGCAGTATTTTCTGGTGTAGAGTGTACAGTAGAAACCGTATGTTAAATAATATTCAACAAAACATATTATGAAATAACCGAAATAAGGAAATTAATATAAAAAGATATATCAGTAATCAACTTTTACATTATTACCATAATTTGAGTTAAAAATAATTATTTTTTTCTTTGATTTTCTTTATTATAATATAGTGTTAATATAATATATCCTTGCGCTTATTAATGACCTATTTTTTTTTAGCAAGTTATTTTTTTACTTATAAAATGATTACAGTGAAAACAACTTATGATTTATGCTCTCATTTTTTATTCAAGATTTCTGGTTGTATATATTATTGCACTAAAATAGTAAATATTTTATATGTTATAGTATAGAGGAAAGTCTGATTGGAAGAATGGTACTTATGCTGGAGGTATTACTGGAGGTTTAATAGGATTTAGAGGTATGTACATTATTAAGGTCTGTATTTTAATGCATTTTTAAAATTATTTTTCCATTAAAACAATTTTTATAATTATATATTTAATTTATAAAATAAAAAATTCAAAACTATTTCATTTTTTGGGATTGTTCTATTTGTTATAATCTAAAAGAAAATATTTGGGCAAAAATTTGATTATAAAAAAAAAAAAATTTCTTTAGATTTTGAAAAAATAATTGTTTAATTATTAAATGTTTTTAAATAATTTATATAAAAAAAAAATTAAACTTAAAAAAATGCGTTTAAAATAAAAAATTTGTTTAGTAGTCATTTTTTAAAGTTTTTAATAGTATTTTTGAAAGCATTTAATTCTGGCCCATATAACATGTAATATCTTATGTCTCAATTTACTAATATAATGTATATTTTTTAATTTTTGGTATTATATATAGCTGGAGCCAAAGCAGGATTACTTGGAGCATTGGGTTTTGCTACATTTTCAACAGCTATAGATTATTATATGCGTAATTCTTATTAATTGTTATTTTATAGTTGAGTAACATTATATATATATAAGATGTTAAAAATAGTCATACAAATAAAAGATTCTTTGTAATTATTATTAAAAACAATAATAATAAATTTTAATTTGCTATACTTTCAATTGAGTTTTAATAAAATAGCACTAATACAAGATTAACTAAAGAAAAATAACAAATTATATCATAACAATAGAGATGTTTATTCCAACAATGACACAATTTTTTTCTTTTTTTTACTTTTTAACAAAATAATACATAGCAAAAACAAAATTACATAAACTGATTAGTCCAACTTAAGCGGACAATTGGTTGAAATTTTGGTGGGCTAGAATACTTAGTAAAGTGACCTGCAAGAACTTCACCGCCACACCCACAATTAGTCACACAACAAATGTCATTAATAATATAAATCAAATATATATGAAGAATGAAACAGATCTAACAGACTCATATAACCTATGACCCACTTACACAATTTATATTTTTTCTTTTTAATCAATTTTTACTATGTAGTTTTATATTTAAATACGTTTTATCTTATTTTTCGGAATTACAAAAAATATTTTAAAAATTAATTTTAACTTCGATGTGAAGCTGGAGAAAGTATTAATTTTATTATGATATGTTTCAGTGGCGTACACAGAAATTAAATTTGGGGGAGGTTTTTTGAAATTTAAAGAAAATTAAATGTGACACTGCCCATATTGTTCCCTCACAAAAATTTCTATTTTCGATTACTTTATTGTGGAAATATTTAAAAGTATGGTATGATCTTTTTTATTGTTATTACTTATTATTTATTGTCCAAAATTGTCGCTTAGCTTATAAAATTTTTTTTGGGGGGGGGGTTCAACCCACCACCTTGCGTACGCCAATGATGTGTATTTATTTGTGTCTTTTGCTGTAGAGGACGACATAGTCGGAACAAGTATAGATAATATCTTACAATGGATAAAATTACTATCATAAAAAACACTTCGATTCCAATTTATAGAGAGTAAATAATTATCAGGGAGAATTATTCGATTTTTAAAAAAATAGATTAGCTACTAATTCAATAAGTTATGGCAATTTTTAGAAAAAAATATCAAAATTAACCAATTTTAAAAATTGTAATTTTTTTGGAGATTTTCATCATTTACGGAAAACGAGGGAACTAATTTCAGTTTTTGAGGGTAATGTCTTCCTCTAGATATGTATGTAACCTTTTAACGTATCCCTGAGAAAAATCGATCTAATGAAAGATGAGAAAAAGTAGTGGCAGACACAAAAAAAAGTAAAAATATCATCGTAAAATAAAAACATTCTCAGCTTCGCATCGAAGCTAAAAACAATTACAAAAATGTGGTTTGAAAACAACAAAAAACTATTATTAAAGTATTTGATTTTAAGCCGCCATTTACTGATTTTCTAATACTACATTTTACTTGTTACTTTTTTTTCTCAAACTTTTATGGTGTATTATTATATATGATATATCTAAAAAATAAAAAAAACATTTTCAGCTTCGATATGAAGCTAAGACGGTATTAATTTTACCATGATGTATTTATTTATTTATTTTTTTTTTTTGTATCTGTCGCTACTTTTTCTCAGATCACGCTTGACCGATTTTTCTCGACAATATATAAAAAAAAAAAATAAAAAAAAAAACACATCATGGTAAAATTAATACCTTCTCAGCTTCGCATCGAAGCTAAAATCACAAATCATATCTAGTTGAAGACATTACCCTCAAAAATTGAAAAATTTTCCCTCATTCCACGCAAATTGAGGAAATCTCCAAAAAAATTACAATTTTAAAAATCGGTAACTTTTGTCATTTTTTTCACTTTTTTTTCTTAAAACTTCCATAACTTTTTCAAAAATTAACAAAACAACATAATTTTTTAGCTTCGATGCGAAGCTGAGAAGGTATTGGTTTTACTAAGATGTGTTTTTTTTTTTTTTTTTTTT